TTTCCCTCCCCTTCACTTCAAAGTGATTTCTGCATGCAATTGCAGAAAGCTATCCACCTGAGGGTAAGAAGATGTGCGGCTGAATGCAGCTACAGTGTTTGCAGGGGAAGGCTCTATAGTAACAGCCTTCATCCTGTCATATGATGTGGAGCACATACCTCATGGGTCTATGTTGAGAAGGGGAAAAAGGAAGGCAACAGCTTGTCACCCCCTTACAGTCAGTACATTTGGCCCTGCAAAAGTAGCTGGTGAAAACATGTACAGTCCACGGTACACGGATGGGAAGATGGTGTTTATTACTGAACCAGAGTAAAAACAGATTGGGACAAACTTTCTCAAGGGAATATGCAGGCAATTTTCAAAGGTACTGTTCTGGCTTAACCCTTGCTGACTCTTACCTTACTTCAGCGCCCGGACAAAGGGCAGAGCATGCATTACTGTCATAACAATATTCAGCAGCAGCTCTTGCTTAAGACTAGGGAAGTATTACTGCCATCATGTCTCTTTTCCTGCCCAGTCTCAACTTTCAGCAAAGCATTTTGCTTTGAAATGTGAAAAGAAAGAAATGTACAGCTGGGTGCCATCAGCATCACAGCTACAATCCCGAATCCATGACCTCACAAGTCTGCCCAAAGCACAACATGCAGTCAGATAAACCATCAAGGCTGTGATGGGCCCTGGGAACACCACAAAAAACCCTCTCTCAAAAAAGACACCTACAAAATTCAATTGGAAGTCTTGGCAAGTAAGAACTATACAATCTCAATACCTTTCCGTTATTGTGGATCCTCTCAGCACTGAGATGCTGTACCCAAATCAGCTAAGAATCTTATTCTTCACCTACCAGCTACCACTGTGGAGTTGCAAAGAGAGCTTAAAGACTCTGAGTTACAGCTTAGGTGATTCTTTAAGGTATGCCCACTCACTTCACATAAGAGGTGTTTTGTTGGTTGACATTAAACCTCCAAGTCCCAGCTGTGCCTTGCCAGTCCCAATTCATGTTCTTTTTGACAACTGGGAGCAGTTGAAGCTTTCAAGGTGTAGTGCTGCTACAGGATGACAATTTTATGTCTTTAAAGAGAAGTTGAGAATCTTTCTCATACAATAACCTGCATGAGACCCGTTTAGCTCCTCAGTAACTGAAACAGTCCTGGAGGATTTAACTCTAGCTGTGTGAGCAGGCACATTACTAAGACAATAAGTATCTTTCTGGGAAAAGTACAGGAGAGAGAAAAATAGCTAACATTTTTCCTACCTTCTGCAAGCCAGCCTTATTAATTTTCCCCCGTGATTGCTTATTGTAGGCAAAAAAGCTGTCTTTAATAGTTGCTGCCTGTTGTATCACTCTGTCCTTCAGCCTTTTAATTACTTCATCAACAGTTCTATTCTGGGTGTATTTGTTAACTTGATCTTCAATCTGGTTGATTCTAAAATTGAAAGATTGTGCATGAAGACAAGTTTCTTATTTTTTGTAGTTTCAAACATTTGATTCAGCAGTAACGAACAAGACTGCTTTAATGAAAGATAAGACATAGACATGGAAGAAGCTTCTTTGATGTAAACCAAAATGATAGGTTGATCAAGTTAGAGCACACATTGATTCCAAGGCCTATATTGTGCAATCATTTCTTACGTATAGCTTGCTTTACAGAAAAGAAGAAAAAAAAAAAACAACAAAACAAACCCAAACCAAAAATTGACTGATACTGCTCTGAAGTATTTCTTTTGCAAATGGAGATCCTAGACGTCCAAATCACAGGCTTAGTTTCTAATGAGCCCAAGTTTCTACATCAGCTAAGGAGCCACCTTTATCCTTTAGTACCTCCTCAGTTAACGCGAGATGGCTAAGCTAACATGAAAGAAGTTAATGAAAGTCTTTCCATTGATTTTAAAAGGAAAAAAATATCTCTTACGACATTTTCTCTCTTCCTGGATCCCAAGTAAGTCACTTCCATGCTTTTTCCCTTTGGAGGAATAGCCAGAATACCTTTCTTTCTCAGGCCCTATAAGAAACTCCATAGATATGGACTATATACTCTTCTTGCTGAAATACCACAACCTTCATCAATAAGCCATTAAAATAAATAACAATTAAATATTTAATAACTTTTAAAGTCAGAAAAGAAATTAAATTAAAGGGTATGTAATGTGTCCCACTTGTACCTATTTTACATCCATTATGGATTTACTATAACCCATGAAAAGGAAAGTTAGAACAATTATTTTTGTTAAATTTTAGAGCACGTATTTCCATATAAGCAAAATGCAGAAATATTCAGCAGTCTTATTTTATAGATTTATTAAGTGTGCTTTATAGTATTCCCTAAACTTGAAGATAATCTTAACATTTTAACTCTTATTCTAAAAATATGCTAATGAAAAGAGTTTTACTTTGATCTGAGCAGCACACAGAAGATTAACTCTAAGCCTCCCGAAAGGGATCAAAAGATGACAGTGACTGCTGACTCCCTCCTGAGGATCTCAGCTGAAGGCACCTGGTCTTCTGAGATATCTACTATCTTGCCGGAATGCAAGAGGCTGCCAAAACATTAACAACTTTACCTGCCCCATCCCACTGATTATTATATTCTCCTGCCTATCAACATAGGCCTTGCCATGAATGACCCGGAGAAAATGAAAAAGTAATTACAGGACAGATGATGAAGGTAAACTCAAATGTTCTTTATACCCTTCCTCCTTATTGAAGTTCAAGACTGAGGCAAAGCCTGGATGTGTCCTGGAAATAAATGAATGATTACTTGCAGAATGTCATCTAAAAGACCGTCTTCCCTGCCAGGGCCTTATTCACAAAAAGCTTTCTTTATCTACTAGCTTTATAACCCAGTAGGAAAGCCTTAGACTAGATTGAAGAAAGGAACTGACATAAAAGCTCACAGGAAGGTATTTACCACAGCCACCTAAGCTAAGGACCTAAAACTACTTGGAACAGGGTTATACATTACGGGGTCATAGAAGAGACAAAACCAGACAGAATGGATCAAGCATGGTGGTTGTCAGTACATGAATATAAGAAACGAGGTATAAAGAAGGGGACCTGGAAGTCCTTATGGTTCTTGGAAGATCCTGGAATCTTACAGTTCAGTAAATTAAACCTTATTTAGAGTTCTACTGATAAAAAACTATGAGAATATGAGTGCTACAATGGTAGGGTGCCTACTGTACATCACCAACAGGGAAAACAGGATTTGGATTTGAAGCTTTTGGAGATTTAGAGATTTTTTCCTGAGGGGGAAGAAAAAAAAAAAAGGAAAAAAAAAGGGGCAAAATCATCCAGGGTAAAAGAGCTGGTTGTAATTGGTTGGGTTATTATTACAGCAGAACACAGGTTGTCCAGCAGATTATCAGAATGTGTCAGTGATATCCTGTTGATGCTGCGAAATCTAGTGAAGGGAAAGTCTTTCTGAATTTTATCTGAATTAACACAGAGAAACTGCTTAAAGAGGTGAAATGCAGCTTAGGCAGGAATGATGATGGAATGACAGAGTTTATGGCACTTCTAAAAAGAAGGCAGGAGAATAGTGAAAAAAAGTAGATTTCTACCTTCTCAGGGAACTAAAGTCTCATGGAAAATGGGACTAAAGGAAAAATAACTTAAGGAGAGCTGGCAGTGCATCAATGAAACATGCCATCACAATATAAGAAGCATGACTGTGTACAACCAAAATCTGAAAGGCCACAACACAAAGTGAGATTCAATATCAAAAATATCAAAAGTAATGAGAACTCATTCTATAAATGCTTCAGTAATATAAGAGGGATCAAGAAAAAACTTGGCTTTCTATTCAACAGAGAAAGAAAACTACTAACAGATTGCATTAAGGGGATGAAGCACTTAAAGTCTCTCTTTGTATTGGTCCTCAATAAAAAGTCAAATATAAGCAGGTCGCTTGAACAATGAATATTAATAACAAATAAGGAAAGAACAAATAACAGAATATTGCTATGAATTCATATTGGTTCTTAAAGAAATGTCTAAAATTGTCTCCCAAATTTATGCAGAAAAGCAAACACACTACCTAGTTTTAAAAAGAGGGAAGGAGAAGAACTGGAGAGTTACTGACATATTTCTAAGAAATCTGTTCCTGCTTTCAGGCAGTAATTACAGAGTCACAAAGAGTTCAAAGCCTGTTAAGAGACACAAGAGCCACTAGGGATCCTTGAGATCTACCCTGATTTCAGGCAAGCTTATATTTTAAATTATACTCCCCTCCAACCAGCACCACTTTTACCTTGGTTTCCTAGGGAAATAAGAATAATGCGATCAGCCGTTTCATGCACATCTGTCAGCCTTTCCCCTAAATTTGGAGTCCATCTACCAATTTCAGTCAAACTTGAGAGGGGTAGGGGTCTTCAGATACAGCGGTTACAAGTTTTGTGAAATTGACAGTCATGAAAAGGAGAGAGATTCTTCATTCTCCTAGTTGTGAAGGCTTTCCATTTGTTAGCAGCTAGCCAAGCAATCAGCATATGTGCTTCTCTGGGCTAGCCATGTACTGTCTCTTGCCCAGCTGCCAGATTGCAGTACTCAGTGAGAAGTATGTTCTTTTTCTACCTTCAAGTAATAAGCCACAAGTACACTTACCAACTGTGTGAGACACCAAACCCTACTCCCTGCGCATTCCCATCTCACTGGGGCTGGGTCTCAAAGTTCTTCATTCAGGCCTGACAAACCTAACCTACCTGTCTGCTCTAACACATCAGTTCTGGGTGCCAGAATGCTTGCTGAAGGTATGGATAAAGCTCCAGATGGTGGCTCAGCAGAAGTTAGGGGCAGAGATATTTATTAGTGAGGCCACAGATTTATCTTGAGTTTAGCGTACTGTGTCCTATTGACAGAACTGTATTCCATGTTGGTGAGTCATCTGCATTTTTTTATCTTGCCAGCTCTCTGCTTTGACAGTCTTTCAGTAGAAATGGCATTGGACCTCAGTAAAAATAACTTTGGGGAATTTCTGAAAGGCTTTTTGACCTCAAGAACAGGAGGGACAAACAGCCTGCAGAAAACAAACCGGTTGATTTCTTGATTGAACTACAGCTCATATTCTGCTTTGAGAACAATCTTGGAATGCATCTGCAGGAACACTCTGCTCCCAAAAAATATTGCATAGAAGGAGCCAGCCATAAGGTCTTAGATATTTCCTTGTGTCTCACAAAAGCAAATTAGGAAAGAATTTCAGAGACAGAGGCAGTCTGCTAGAAGTCCTGAGGATTAAGATGAAGGCCATTGTGGAACAGGATCTTTCACAGGTAGGGACACCTTAACCACCCCAACTTGTTAAAGAACTTACAGGTGGAAAGACGTGGAAATATCAAGATTTCACCCATTGCAGACTGTTGGTCCAAAATCACCACTTCAGTAAGAAAGAGGCTGGGCTTGCTTTCCTAGAGACTTCATGAAATATTTCTTTTCCATTACTGGTAACGAATTCTCGCTAAAGAAAGGAGCAGACATAATTTGGCAAATGAGAGCCACACAGCACCCATTATATAACAAGGAAAGAGTTAACGTTAAGATTCATAAGGATACTGAAATTTCATTTTAGCAATTTCAGGAGGAGGGACAGAAGCCTTGAACTCCAGGCTAGAAGGCTTAGAAGGTGTTGGTAGCAGAATTGACTTGGCCACCATAGAACATCACTGGGACAAGAGGAACTGAAGGGAAGTTGTAAACCACTGCTTAAACTTACAGAAGGAGCGACTCATCTGACATAGTTCCAAGACACTGATCAATTCAGGAATCAAACATCCAAAGGTTCTGTTTTAAACTTGTCAAAATGCCTAAACCAACAGTTCTTGTCAATGTCATAAATAAAAGGTCAGACCTGGTATGTCTGCAGCATGGTCCCAGCTTTCTGCACAAGGGATTGGCTCACTCCTGTGTGGGCCTGACATAGTAAAATGACTCAAGCCATGTGCCTGAGAACTCGTCTCACATGAACTGCTGGCAGGTAGCCAGGTAACACTTCCAAACAGTTGACATCCTCCCAATAGCTAGCGACTGACATTGTATAAAGCAGTTCAAAGGCCTCATGTCCAACATCACCTTGGCAAGAAGGTAAAGGAGATTGTGGTCTTTTTAAAAATATCCCAGAAGGCTTCTGTCATCCCAAGACCTCACTAGGAGAGACAGAAGGACGTCCCAGTGCCTGAGAGGTCTTCGGAAGATGGATTGCGTTCTCTTCCTCTGCTTTGCTGTTCTACAGCAGAGCTTGGCAAAGAGTCATAAGTGAATTCTGGTGTGTGCAAGCTGTCCTTCGGCAGGGTCCTTGTGCAGGCATTTGAATCCTCTTATTGCCGATTCAAATGCCAAATATCCACTGCCAATTTTTCTATGTTCATGACAGAAACAGGGAGGTCCTGGTGGGCCTACAAACCATTTTGTGAGAGCTTTGCTGCAGGCTGCATTAAGAGTGGCACTGAAATGGGTATTCAGGGGCAGAGCTCAGAGGCCGTTGTTTACACTTATGTTTGGTGTCCCTGAAACATTTGGCCTCCTTTGAAAAATGTGTGGAGATCCTGTGGCAAGGCTCTGAGACAACAGAATAGAGAGAAAAGAAACGGTCTTTCTGAGCCATAGGAATAAGCTGCCAGTTCTGACATGTGTATGCACAGACAAGGCAATTCCTAGAGCTGCCCTGAAGGGGATTCAGATGGGGACTTAAGAAACACAAAAAGGTCAGACTGTTGAAGAGGAAACAAAGAAGTCTGAGGAGAATCTGGGGCAAGACAGGGCATACTCCTGTCTTGATAGCTGTTGTCAGAAATGTGAGCTTTGCATAGGGCACTCTGTTTTATGGAATACCAGCCTAACAATGAGGGAAGGTAGGCACTGAGCACACCTCCATAGACATATTAGAGTAAAGCATTATCTGGGTTCAAGTGAAAGGAAATACATGTGTCCTGGGTCTGGCCATACCTGTAGATTATCAAGCAAATGTAAGAAAAAAAAAATATTGTTAAGAGAGGCTCATCCCATTGTAAGGGAAAATTTATTGTTTCCCCCACAGATTATGCAGGCATTTACATATATTCAAAAGTAAGAATTGAGGAGAATCAATAGGCCGTACACCTTTGTAACCTGGATGCCAATATCAGTGATGCTGGTTCAGTTGGAGGCTGTAGCTGTGGCCTGCAGTAGTCACAGCCATCAGATGTGCCAGAGTTCCTGATCCCCTGAGAATGTTCAAATCCAGTTCCTGAAAAATGAGCCACACTGATTCTACAGAGGATCACAAGCTTACTCTTCAGACATTATCTAGAGGGCAAAACCCCAATTTTTGAATGATGCGGTGAGATATCATCCTTGTGGACCCTGTAAAGTGAGCTCAACCATTTTTACTTGAATCCTGGAGTCTTTGATGAATGATCCACGTGTGTTTGCTCTCCTGATGCAATGCTTTGAATGTTGTACAATTTTGAATGTATCTCTGCAAAATGAGAGATCAGCCCAGGACAGTACTTACCATTAGAAAAACAGCATGTATCCTCAGTCTATCTGAAAGTCTCCTTTCTATACATATTTTTTCTTTACATTAAACAGAAAATTGTCTGTAATAACAGTACCTTTTTGAAAGCTCTGTTTGCCTTTTTTCTTTTCTTTGTTGTTTTTCCTTTGATATATGCGAGCTGATACCATTTAAGTCACCAGAAAGAACAGCAACTTTTAAGTTATCCAAAAGCATCTTGTAAAAGATTCCATCAGAAGAGTTATCCTTGTATTTATAGCATAACCTGGATAAAATAAGAATTTAAAATAATTTCAGAGATTGAGAACAATGCATAATACAAATGTCTTAAAGGAAAGACGATCAAAGTAAGACATTTCCTTTCCATATACAGTTAAGGGCATTATTCAGAATACTGTCGTTAGGCACTGGAAACTAGCCTTCCCAGGCTCCTTCTGTAGCCTACAGAGAAAGCAAGAACCTAACTTAAACGCTGTGTCATGACCTGGAAGAGCTCCATTTACTCTAGAAGGAGCCTAAGGACACAAGCCTCCCCTACCTACAGTTACCCTTTGTGAATACCCTGTGTAATTAACACTTGAATTCTATGGTGGACATTTGGAAGAAACTTGGCTCACCCGACACTGACCTGTCAAATTCAGCTGCGTTGGTGGAAGAGGGAGCTAAGATCACAGCCACTGCACAACTAAATCTGCCAGAAATTATGAATGAAAACCATTGTTCACCTTAACTTGCTGCCTGGCATTTGAATATAAAATTAAATCACTAGCAGCCTAAGTTAATACTCCTAGATATGAACCTTAGCAGCCCAGAAGCAGACACACTGTTTGTTCAGCCCCTTCTGTTATTCTGAGAGTAACTTCCAGTGAAGAGGTCGAGTTGGTAGTTCCCTAGGCCTGTTAAATTACCCTCTTAAATCACTGCCATATAAATTAACAGAACTCATGAATCAGAGCCCTTGTCATCACTGTGTCGCTGCTTCACTGTGCTGTTCAGCCTTCCAGGATTTCATTCATGTTCATAAAGCTTTGGGGCATT